TGCTCCATTCCCCAGCCCTGATGCGGGGGAGCAGAGTGGTTCCCCAGAGCTAGCAGAGCCCATGCCAGGCTCCCGCCCCAGCCTCTCCTGGCGCACGGCCTTGAAAAGGCTGTGTGTGGCCACACGTTTAGTTGTACGCAGCAGCACACACGTGCACCTTAGAGGGAACCTTGCCACCAGATATAGGAGTATGGACACCAGTGGTCCAAGCAGCAGTGCCAGTTTAAGACCAAGATCCTAAGGGTGCAATGGGTCCATGTTCAGGTCCACAACAGATGGTCCAGGGCTGCCTGCACCTCCATGCCCTCTCTGTGAAAGCTGGACAGCATCCTAGCCCCCATAGACCCTGGCAAGGCCCAGCATGTGTTTTGAAGCATGTGTGGGCTTCCAGAGCTTGTGCCAGGGGCTGTGGATCAGGAGGACTCTGTGGGAGGGCACTTTGGGACCCTGGTGCCAGGTCCTGGTGTGCTTTGTGCCCTCGACCTCACCCAGCAGCTCGGGCAGCCTGCCCCACCACCTTTCCCAGGTACTTCAGCAGCAGCCCACCTCCAATGAGGACAGGGACACACCAGTCAGCCAGATCTCATTTTTGTGGCCAAGAACGCCACCCACTCACCAGGAACAGCTGCCACACCCACCCAGTAAGCCCCGCAAATGGACAGTCAGGGGGTGAGTGGGGTGCTGTGGCCACCTTTGCCCACACCAGCTCACCCACATACCTCTGGGCTGCATGCCTGGAGCCAGGAGCCCTGCACAGTGTAATGGGGGGCCCTCCCCTCCCCTTCCTTTCCCTCTCCACCCTGCCTGGCTGAGCTCTGTTCCCATCCACCAGAGTTCCTGCCCCCACCAGCATGCAGGGAGGTGAGAGGCAGTTCAGGACTTGTGGTAGGTTCCCATCAGTATGTTTGCCCAATATGGACCACGTGTTTTTTATAGTCATGCTCAGTCAGTGCCATAGCAATGAAATTTGGTGCTTTGGGCAAAGCCCACAACAGCAGCCTGCCCTCGCCCTGCACACAGATCCAGGGAGGCACACTCCCTGCTCCATGCTTGCCCAGGAGTGCACACAGCAGTGGGAGCTGCCCATAGGTGGAGGAAGAAAAAATTATTTGGGGAGGGGCTGAGCATGCACACACATGCATGCACCCTCCACCCCACCCCAGCAGGTAACTCTGTGGAGGAAGGGGCAGAGGGAGGGGAAAGGGCTGGGGGCAAAGCAGATTGAGGCCCCAGCAGTGAGGGAGAGAGTGGGGCAGACGCAAGGACAGAGGCAGGGGCTGGGGTGAATGGGACCCCAGCTAGGCTGGGTAGTGGGACAATTGGAGCCTAGGTGGCTCATCCAGAGGCACAGGGGGGCTCCCACCACTGTGCACACCCTAGAACAGGCTGAGGGAGTACATGCTCCCCAAATCTGTCTGCAGGGCAGAGATGACTTCCACTGCACGCTGGGCTCTGTGCCCTGCTGCCGTTGCCTCAGGAGCAGCTTGATGCCATATTTCTGCCACCACTGGGCTGTGCCATGCCCCTGGCAATGGGATACACGTAGCATTGCACTGCTCCAGGACAGCAGCAGCTAGCCACAGACCCCAGCACACAGCGGCAGCCACCTCTGCCCCATGCACAGATCCTCTGGGCCTCTCCTAGGGTGCACACAGTGACAGGAGCCCCCCCTGCACCTCTGGATGAGCTGCCCAGGCTCCAATTGTCCCACCACCCAGCCTGGCCAGGGCCCCATTCATCCCTGTCCCTGCCTGTGCCCCACTCCCTCCCTCATTGCTTGAGCTTCACTCTACACCTCTCTGCCCCCCAGCCCCTTCCCCTTCACAGAATCAACTGGTAATTGCCTGCCATACTGGACACCCAGTGATCCAAATGCCAAGCTGTGATCCTGGTTGTGTGTGTGCCCCTCCCCACCCCTGCTCCAGCCACCTGGAGCCTGTGGCCAGGCTGCCTTGCAGCCCTACCTGCTGCCCCACATGTGTGGGGGCTGAGCCTTGTTAGCCCTGGCCTTCCACTGCCCACTCTTCTCCCATCCATGCACTGCACCCCCACCTAAATGATCCACTCATGGCTCTGTCCTGCACCCCGCCCTGACTGGGCAGCACCTGTTGGAGCCCCTTTACTTCAGCGCTCGGGGTCGTTTCCACACTTGTCCGGCACTGTGCTTAGTGTTGGGTGCTTTTAATCAGCTTCATAGTTTCCATTACTGACTGCATGTTGCTTTTGGTAGCAGTTTAATGATAGACAGTGTATTTTGTGAGGTTTCCTTGCATGCAAATATAAGACAACGGGTTTTTTTCCACCATGCTGATGGAGGGGGGGAACTTTGTCTTATATTTGAATAAATATGACAATAAAGCAACATGTCCAGTAGCCCTGGTAGTAGCTCATTACTGTTCCTTCTACTTTCATTCACACTTGATGCAGGACTGAACCATAAAAGAATTAACATTTATTATATAAATTAAAGTTTGGGGAACTTGAACTTTTCACATCAGCTTACAACATCAAAAAAAATGTTATTTTCCAGATTTGGATCCAAATAGGTGAATGAGAGGAACAAGGTATGGTAAAGTAGCTTTCTACATTTAAAAAAAAATCACATTAAATTAAGTGCTTAAATATTACCATAAATAATCATGGGGTTCCACCAGAGGTGCTAATTGGTTTTTCAGCTGTGAATAGTCTCTCATATTTGAAACTAAATATATGGAAAATAGTTAAGACAATGGACAACAATGCTTAGCTCTGTGATAAGGGTCAGAAATAAATTCTTTTATTATTAAAATATAGAATGTTTGTAGATCACATGCAGGGATATTGCAGATGATTTATATAATTTAACTTAGTCTTCTGACATGACTATCAAGGACCCAGAGTTGCCTTCTACAACCTAGAAAGAGGCAATTGTACTGATAGAACAACTTACTGTGGACAGTAAAGGTACAGAAAAATCTGATTTTATATCACTCAAACACAACAGTGATTTGAATTTTCCAAACCACTTAAATCTTTTTTTATTAGTTTGTCTTGGAAATATCACTGTTAATTCAACCATACTGTAGCAGAAAGCCCCCTTCGTACATTTCTCTTCTGGACATTGATATAACAGAAGCCCTTTCTTGCCTACACCCCCCCGCACCACACCCCATTTTATGCATTTCTTTCTCCTTCTGAGTATTGGCAGAGACCTAGCACACTTATTGCATGGGTGTGGCAAGGCTCAGAGCAAGCCAGAAAGCTGAAGTGGCTTTCTGTAGGAGAAACCTACAAACTATATCTACATATCAATTAATCTCAGTGTCACAAAAGAAATAAAATATCCATTTCAGAGTGTAAGAATATCCGGGTGCTAACCTAACTCACTTACTGTCCCCAGTAGCCTTTGATCCTCGCTACCTCATATTGCATTTTTATATATTTCTCACAGTGCGTTTTTATATTTCATCTGTCTCATCTTTTCCATCCAGGAAGAGCAAACACCAACTGCTGAAACTTCCTTAGCCTGATGAAGGGTTTTTGAACCCGAACGCTTGCTTAATAAATATTCTCCAACTATTTGGGTTAGTCTAATAAAAGATATCAAATTCACCCAAGGAACCTTGTCATCTTTATCATGGCATTTTATATTTTATACTTTTAAACCCTTAAGGAATGTACTCCCTGTAGAATGAAGTTACACCCTGGACCATTGTTAAAAACTGCATTTAAATTGTAATTGTAAAGTGATAAAATCTGCTATATTTGGCTGGTCCCCCTTCAGTGAATGGGAGTATGTATGGTGATCAGTAGGTAATTAAATGGCAATAGCCTAGCCTAAGGAACTCATCATTACAAAACTCTACTCTACAAGCCATCTTAGGCTAATCAAGCCAAGGAACTGATTCATCCACCCTGTTGACTATTCCTGTAACCCATGACAATACATTAAGTCAATAAGTCAAGTGTGGACTCCCAAAACTACACCATTGGGCGGAACCCCCAGTGAGAGTGACGGACCGCTGTCAGGCACTACTCGAGACCTTTGTGGGACAGCGACCTCCGGATTGAGCAGCCAAGATGATACTGGGTGATCATACAAGTCTTTCAGAAAGGGATAAAAGGCAGTGAAGCGTGACCCTCAGTGGCACTCTTTCATCCAGCACCTGACCTACCGAGACAGAAGGACAAGCAGGCAACCCCCTTCTGGAGAAGACATCATCTTGAAGGAAGCTGACCATCAACAGCTGACTCCAGGGCCTCAGATAGGTAGATATACTGACACCAGTGTTCTCACAATCAATACAGCAGCTACTATACACTTTACTATATGAGTTTGAGTGACATGAGTTTGAATGACTGAGTATATGTGTGTGTATGTGTTAAAGCGGCCAGTACCCCTCATAACTCAAAGTTTGCATTTATGATTTTATTGGTAACTTCACATCCAGTACAATAAATTAGAATTCATGATGATCTCATGAGTTGGTCCTTTGTTGCCAGTACAACTTTATTTGTAAATCCTAGGTATTCTAAATTTTTAATTTATCCTCAGAGTCATCATCTCCTTAACTATGAGGAAAGCTATTGCTGGCTGAAACACTAATTCAAATTGTAAGCCAGGATGAGATTCTCACCTGTGTTCTGGCTTCTGTGTACTGGAAAAGGGTGCTGCAAAAGCTCTAAATTCAATTAACTGGAAAGGAACTTCCTCTATTCAAGATCTGAGAAAGATTGCCTTAAAGCCATGTCTGTACTGCTTCCCCGCTTAACCTGGACTTACCACCAAAGAAAGAAGGCCCTGACTACTTGCAGTTACGCTGTATATGTTGTTAGATTACCTGAGAACTCAAGACCTCTTTGCTGTATATTGAACCAATATGTCTCTCAACTATACAGTTAGCCTAATAAGAGATATTGCCAAAGAAATGTTACTTCTTAGCCATATATCCAACTAAGTTGTCAGGCTTAGTTGCACAGTATGTAGAAGTGAGAGAGCTGGGCTTGTTGCATTGGCAGTGATCAGGGAGACTGTATAAACATGGCTTTAGAGACATATCACAAAAGTTGATCTGTATTCTCTAGACCAGAGGCAGGCAAAATATGGCCTGTGAGCTGGATCCGGCCCACCAGGCAATTTCATCTGGCCCATGGGCAGGTGCCTACCAATTTGTGGTATCCATCCTGGCCCTGGGCTGCCCCTGCTGTACTAGCATAGGGCTGAGCCCCACTCACTCCCATGGGGACAATGCATGCTACACTCCTACCCTCACCTATGAAATAGCCCTGACCCTGTACCCGCAGGTATAGAAGCAGCAGTGGTGGGCAGGGAAGCAGCAGCCATTAGCAGTGGGGGAAGTGGTGGTGGCAGGTGTGGGGGAAGTCATGGTGGTAGGAGGGGGGGACAGAAGTGACAGTGATGGCAGCAGGCTGGTGGGGGAAGCAGTGGCAAGCAGGCAAGAGCGAAGTGGTGGCAAGCAGGAGCATGGGGCCCACACCAATGTCCTGGGGCCAGCAGGAGACCAGGGCAGGGCATCAAGAACACAGAGCCTGAGCTGGCAGGGGTGTAGGGTCTACCTGGCTACATCATGTGGGGCTCCCTGGGTCTCACATGCAGTTCCTGGGTTCTCTGTCCAAGCGACACACCTGCAGGGGGAGCCCTGTGCAATGGAGCCAGTCACCTGGCCCTGCTCACTGCCTCATGCTGTTCATGGAGAATGGTAGAGAGCTCCACACTATGGAACCACTCTGGCTCCGCCCCTGGACCTGCCATGCTGGCCAAGCCCCATGACCTGCATTTCTGGCTTCATTGCATGGGACTCCTCCTGGTGGGGCAGGGCTCGGACACAGAACCCAGGAACTGCATGTGAGTCTGGTGCAATAGAACCGGCAGCCCAGTCATGTGCAGTTCTTGGACTCATCAGGACCATGCACCACCAGGGGACTCCATCTGCTGTGGCCCATTAGTATCCCAAGGGCTTGCTGAATGCTGCTGCCACTGGCAGCAGGGGCTGTGCACAATGGAGGGGGGTGTATAGGGGGGTGTTTGTAGGGGGAGGCCCACATGCACACCCCACCATACACATGCACCTACACACCCCCATTCTCATCCCATTCCCCCCCCTACCCACATCCCCAACACATCTCACAATCCCCCACAAACCCACATCCCCCCACAAGCCCCATAACCACTCACACACACCCCCACACTCCCATGCATACCCCACACCCACCCTAGCCACACCCCCAACACATCCCACAACCCCCTACACACCCACAGCTCCCCCACAAGCCCCATACCCATCCACACACATCCCCACAAACATCCCCCACAAACCCCATACTCACCTACCCACACTCCCCCAACAAACCCCACACATCCACACCCACACCCCATATGCATACATACAAATACATACACACACACAGCCCCCACAAACACCATACCCACCACGCACACCCCCATCCCCTGAAAAATATACAAGAGTAAGACTTTATTTTGAACTATTATTCAATTACCTCTATATATATACTATGCAAACACACACAAATCAGGAAAAATATTTTTTTGAAATAAGATTACAATATGTTATAATAGATTTTTAGTATATAATTTGTTTTTTCTTCCATTTCCAAGATGGCAACCCCCCTCTCCCTAAAGGAGTACTTCCAGGGGCAAGGGGAGGGACTTCCAATGGCAAAGATCAGGTGAAGGGGGAGGACTTCTGGTCCCAAGATGGTGATTAGGGAGCAAGACACCTGTCAAGGGGCAGGACTAACCTTTTGGCTCTTGACAGCTCACCAAAACTCATTAAGTGGCCCTCCAGCTGAAATAGTGGCCCAACTCTGCTCTAGATCTTAGCTAGAGCTCAGCATGATGGGGGCTTAGATAAAGAGAGAAACACAGGGAAGCTTAGCAGCTCAAGAGAGGGCATAGACAAAGGTTTTGGAAGGCCGGACAAAAAGCTGGGAACCCAGAAGCTTGGTTCGGTCAGTGAACTAGAGCTAGAGGGCTCAGCAAAACCAAAAAGGGAGGAGGTCAAAAAGGCCAAAAACTGAAAAATTTTCCAAATAATGACATCAAAGGCATGGCAGCTAAGTAAAGGAGGTGAAGTCCCCTAGAGTGCAAGCCAGGGCAGGAATTGCATGGCCACCAAGGGGTGTCATGGCCACCTCTGGGACCTGAACCTGTTACAACATTCTCCCACCCCCCCTGCTGAGCCCTTCAACTAGAGTACTACAAAATCTCTGTGAAGGCATGCAGCAGCATGCTGTCCAATTAGGGGCATAATAAGGGGTTGCTCAGCCTTGTAACTCTCCTCCCTCTGGGGATTCTAGGGGATGCAGCTGTGTTCCCCAAACCCCCAGTGGAACCAGGAAACCAAAGGTGAAGAGCCTTACAGGGATTACTGTTCTCCATCCCCAGTGACAGCTGAGCATCCAAGTGACACTCATTAACTGTCCACCCTACTCTCCCTTCCACCACTCTAGGAGCAGGGTGTGGAGGCAAGCAGAGAGCTCTGGGGTGCAGGGGGACCAGCAGATCCTTTGTCCACATCCAGTGTATAGCACCATCCACATCTAATGTGTAGCACTACTACAGGTAAGTCGCTGTTTATTCCAACAACATTTTTGTGCTACAGGGAACACACGTCTGTCTGACTTTTTGTAGGGCTATAAAAACATTTGTAGTGCTACAATATATTGCGTTCAACCAGGGCATGAGGGACTGACTTGTGAGATAAAGTAAAGAAGGAGTGGAGTAAAATATAGCATCTGTTCTTCTCTCTCTTGCTTTGATCACATTGCTCAATTTAAATTTCACACCCCACATGATCATTTCCTTCTTGGTTAGCATACTGGGAATTTGCCCTCCTCCTTTCTGCCTACCTTAACTAACCATAAACAATCCACTGCCCACCTTTACTTGAAAGGCATGTGTGGTGATATGCTTTTGCTGAGTCTTACAACAACAGCTGTTTAAGACTGAAAAACAACAGTCGCAGAAAAATTATTTTACAAAAAATAGGCCATATGAACATTATATATGGATGCATGTACATGTTGTCTTACAGACCAAATAAAATAACACATTCCCTACCCCAAATAAATTATTATTTAATGTAGTTCTAACAAGAGATGGCAGCAAAGGAACATGAGGAGAGTACAGGAAAATGAGGGATCTGACAGTGGAGGATCATGATCTCTGATCTTTGCAATTTTATTTCCCCTGTTTGAATGTAAGTTACTAGGAATTGTGTTTGGTATTCAGAATGAAGTCCTAATCAAGAATCAAATGTTTTGAGATGAGGGAAAGAAATTAAATAAGGAAAGTCAAATTTTAGGTTTCCACCTATTAGTATCCCTGGAGTAGATCTGAATGGAGTTTTTAGTTGTTGCTTACAATTAATAGCCTGCGCTTTTAAAATAGATGTGCTATATATGAATTCCAGTTGCTTTGATTTAAAACTAAACTTCAGTATAATTTTGTTTTTCTTTTCCATTTACAAAATCCTTTAATATTATTTCAATAACAACTGTTTAAATATCTATTTTACATAAAATAACAATAACTCTATGAATATCTATATTGCATTAATTAGAATCTGTCCTTTAGCAGAGCTACAGTATGAATTTAATGGAACATTTTATCATTGTAGTCCAGATTTGTTTTGCATTTTAGTGTTTTTGGCATAAAATATTTTATTCTTCTATAAAGCTAAGAGTTGAAACAGTGAAATATTATTTGTTTATATGTTAGAAATTGCAGAAACAAGGGGAAAAGT